ATCAGTGCTGTTCAATATCTTCATCAGTGACTTGAATGAAGGTGTGGAAAGCACTTTGTCCAAATTTGCAGATGACACCAAATTATGGGGCAAAGTAAACATACTGGAGGGAAGGGAGCAGATTTAGACAGATAGACAAGTGGGCAGATCGGAATAGGATGCAGTTTAACAAAGATAAAGTGCAAAGTGCTGCATCTAGGGAGAAAGAACCACTAACACACCTGCAAACTCGGAGGGGACTTTCTAAGCAGCACAGCAGAAGAAAGGGATCTCGGAGTCATAGTCAACTCCAAGATGAATATGAGTTGACAGTGTGACAAAGTGATAAGTAAAGCCAACCACACTATTTCATGCATTAGAAGGTGCATCACGAACAGGTCTAAGAAGGTGATACTTCCCCTATATGTGGCATTGGTAAGACCACAGTTGGGGTATTCAGTCCAGTTTTGGGCACTGCACTTCAAGAAGGATGTGGAGAACTTTGAAAGGGGTCCAGAGGAGGGCCACTCATATGGTTAAGGGCCTGCAGGTAAGATCCTACAAGGAGAGATTGAGGCACCCGAATCTCTTCAGTTTCCACAAAAGGTGGCTGAGAGGGGATCTTGTGGCCATCTACAAATCTATCCGGGTTGGGGTGGGAGGGCAGCAAGGAACAGGAGACACTGTTTACCAGGGTGCCCCTTGGGGTTACTAGGAACAATGGCATTAAAATTGACGGAGAATAGATTTAGATTAGACATTAGGAAAAATTTATTTACGGTAAGGGTTGCCAAAATCTGGAATGGGCTTCCAAGGGAGGTGGTGCTCTCCCCTACCTTGGAGGTCTTTAAAGAGGAGACTAGACAAGCACCTAGCTAGGTTCATCGGACCCCAGCACTCCCCCCTGCCCTGGGCAGGGGGTCAGATTTGATCTATTAAGGTTCTTTTCAATCCAAAAAAGTCTATGAAATCTATGAGGGGCTAGATTTCCAACCTGTGATCTCTGGAAGCTAGCATTTTTTAAATAAATTTTTCCTTGTTATGAAGGTGTCCTACATGCCTTGAGCATTTATTTACCTATAAAGTCTTAGTTCTGCCAAAAATGTACTAATCATAACAAAACAAAAATAGATTAAAAAGCAAATTTTTTTAGTCAGTTTTCCTTATGTAGTTTAAAGTAGATGTCATAGATTTCCAGGGTCGGAAGGGACCTGGCAGATCACTGGGTCCAACCCCTTGCTCCAGGCAGGAAAGAGCGCTGGGGTTAAGTAACCCCAGCCAGATGCCTATCCAATCTCTTCTTGAACACTTCCAAGGTAGTGGAAAGCACCACCTCCCCTGGAAGCCCATTCCATATTTTGGCAACCCTCACCATAAAGAATTTCTTCCTTATGTCCAATCTAAATCTATTCTCCTTCAGTTTGTGGCCATTATTTCTGATAACTCTGAGGGGTGCCCTGGTAAACAGAGTGCCCCCTACTCCCTTTTGACCCCCCCCGATGAGTTTGTAGGCAGCCTTCTCTTGCAGATGCTGAAGAGATTCAGGTCCCTCAGTCTGCCTTCATAGGGTCTTACATGAAGGCCCTCAACCATATGAGTAGCCCTCCTCTGGACCCTCTCAAGGTTATCTGCATCCCTCTTGAAGTGTGGCGCCCAAAAACAGATGCAGTACTCCATCTGCGGTCTCACCAGTGCCACATAGAGGGGAATTATCACTTCCCTAGACCTGCTCTTGATGCACCTGCTGATGCAATTAAGAGTGTGGTTAGCCTTGCTTATTGCCTCATCACGCTGGCAGCTCATGTTCATTTTTGGAGTCCTGGTTGACGCGAGATCTCTTGCCACTGCTGTGGTGCTCAGAATGGTACCTCCCAGTCTATAGGCGTGTTGGAAACTCTTTTCTCCCCAAGTGCAGCACCTTGCATTTATCTTTGTTAAGTAAAAAAACCAAAACATAGAATTTTGTGTATATATTTATCAAAGAGTATTTCCTTTTCAGGAAATTTCTCCATATAACAAACACTGCAGAAAAGAGACTGAAAACTGGAATGAAGTGACCAGGTCTAAGTTTAACTATTTTTTTTTGTTTGTGTTTTTTGTTGTTGTTAACCTGAGAAGACTTCAAGCTGACAGTATTTTTTTAAAAGGGCTGACTAGGAAAAAAAAAACTTTTGAAACGTTTAATCTTTTTCATTTATCATCTCATAAAACTAACAAAACAAATATTAGAGCTAATAAAAAAATATTTAGAAACAAACGTTAACAACAACAACAACAACATCTTCTCTACCTATCTGACAAAGCCTTAAATGTTTTAGGGTACATCAAATTGCTGTGGAGAATAAAAAAGATCTCTAAAGATAGGGATGGGTAACACACACATATGGTATATATTAATGCACCAAAATATTTTTTAATGTAGGTTCTCACTTATGTTATTTCAGTATTTTGGTACAGAGGATAAGTTGGAGTAGTTTTCCTTAGTCTAAAAGACATCCAACATATTTAAATTATCTAGCAGTTCATAATTAAGTCAGTGTGAAAAAAATATTGTTGAATTACTTAATGTTTAAGCCATAATTAAACTTTTTCCTGGTAAAAATGTCCTTATAGGCATATCATCATAGGGTTTGCTAGCATACAAAACATTGGACTATTTGGCCGTACTGGTATTGTGAAGGCAGTACAACTTCCTTAGGCAACGTTATCAGTACAGCTTATTCTAGTAACAAAAAGGGAATTGGCCATACCAAGACAGTTCAACTTTACAGATAAGCCTGTATTCTAGGTAATTACCAATTTACCAAATCTCAGCAGAGAAATCAGACCCTTGTAGAAACAACTGAAAAAAAAAATACAAAAACAGAGAGAAGACTCAGCCATACACAGCAGGGTAATTTCCACTGTAACGTACGTACACACATACAACCTCTACTTATTTAAGCACAAGTAACAGGATTATTACTGGGCATTTGGTTATTTACTGTAGTAGCATCCTCATCTTTCATTTCCAGTCCCATTAATTAAAGTAGAAAGGGGGGGGGGGGTGGAATCTCTAGAAATACTAATTCTGATATTGGCTACAGCAGCTATTGATAACCTGTCCATATATTGGTACTGAGCTTGTTTTTAATCTTTTCCTAGAGTACCCAGAAGATAAACTACAGTAAAATGTACAGCAGTCTCCTCCTAAGCCATCTGCTTTCCAGAACACATTTCTGTCCCACTGCTATTACCATTATCCAGAAGCTGAAGTAGAAGACTACTGGAGAGAGAAATCCCTCTGACATCTTTTCTAACACATACACTAACTGATAGGTTATTGGATACCCACCAAATATAGCAAGTTTTAGTTTTGACGAACTAACACTGAAACTGGTTTTAATTTACTGCACATACTGTAAGCAAAACCACAAGTAAATCTGGATTTTATACAATTCCCAATTCTATAGGGAAGTCCAAATAAAATCTGTTTACATAATGCTGTAACATGTGTCCAATTGCCCCTGCAATTAAAAAGTTCTTATTTCCTTCGCATAGTTATTTCTGCACACACCAAAGGAATGCTCAAAGAAACTATCATCATTACCCCAGTACAGGATAACTGTGTGTGTCTTCAGGTTGCAATGCATCTCCAGTGAAAATATCACTTCTAATGCATATGAACCCATATTAAAATAGAAAAAGTGCATTAAGCTAGAATTTTATTACAATTACAATATGTTAATAGACCAGTTTGTTCCTGTCAGTAAAATAGTCTGAAAAATTGTTCTTTAGATGTACATTGTCCTCAAAATGAAAAAAAAAAAAAAAAAAAAAATGGTGGAAAAGATACGTTTATTCTCCAAGTTTAACCACATTTGAGATAACGCACAGGCTAGGGACAAACGTTACACATAAACCAGTTTAAGTGATCAGAAACTGATTTAAACCCATAACAGAACAGACGTTCAATGCGTATAAACCAGTTTCAAAATGGTTGAAACCGGTTCGAGATAAACCTGGTTGAATGCAATATCAGACTTAACTGATTTGGCTCAAAGCAGTTTATGCAATGAGTCCCAGACCCCTGTGTGAGTGTCACAGTACATAAAAAGTTGTGGTCCTTGTTACCACTTCACCAGGCTCACAGGGAAAGCATTTCTGGCCTACAGTGACAGCAGTGTGACATACAAGAAAATGACCATTTTTGCTCTTCTACTGTGTAGTTTCAGCATAAATGAAACTGTACTGCAGCCGTGCTCCTGAACTCAGATACAGAAAGAGCAAAGAATTCAATTGTCCATTCGCTGCAATGGATCCACCTCTAAATATACAGTATCAAAATTCTATTTATTAAAAAAAACAAAAACACAACAACAACAAACCCCAAAACATCTAAATAACATTTTCAAGTAGTTCCACGATGGCACAGTCCCCCATAAAGACCAAGTCAATTTCAAATAAAACTGCAAAGCAAGCCGAGACCTGCCTACTACCACAAAAAGCACTCTGCCAGTTTCCAAACAACAAGCGTAAACTGGACATTAATCCCTGCTAATAGCACTGACTCCTAGCAAAGCAGGGTCAATTAGGTCCTTCAGAAGATTCCTCAGCATGAATCTAAATAACTGCTAGCTTACAGTGAGACTACATAATCTTGTAAAAAATGTAAGCATCATATAGTTTTGTTGTATTTCAAGACTTGTGAAAGCATATGTCAATATCCCTCACAGAGACAGCAATTTCTCATTTTAAGAAGTCAGCAATGGCAGTTAGCTAACTCTCCCTCTTTCTCAAGAGGGAAACTACATGCTGTAGACCTGAAATGAAAGTTACATGAAGCAAATACACTGTCTCTAGCAGGAAAAAAAAAAAAAATCTAGCGACTTAAAGATGGACTGGATTTAGGCTCAGAATATGTAAACCATAAATATTTTGCTTGTTAAATAATTAAAACATTAAAGCATCAGGAACACGGGTAAGCAATGTAAAAGGCAAGGCAAGAGAGTCAATCTTTGATATGCAAATGTTCCTCTTACCTGTCCTGTGACTGTTCCTCATACATCCGTTCTTTTCCTTCCTTAAAGAGTCTAATAGCCCGTTTTGATTTTTTCATGAGACTATCAATGTAAATTTTAAAATATTCATTCTCACTGAGTTGTGCAAGTTTCTGGTTGTCATCATACTTGCTCAGTATAAGTCGCAAATGTTGATAAGTATCTGGTAAAATGTCAAGTATGTAGGGTGGGCTGTTCTTCAGCTGAAGTTTAGGATTTTGGCACAGTCTTACCTAGAAGCAAAAACAAGCGTGTTTAAAGCAGAATTCTTCTATTACTCAACACTGAAAGAAAGAGAGAGAGACAAAAAGTTGATTTGGCATCTTGAAAGTAACAGATGCAAGCATACTTCTCAGGTCCAAGCACAAAAGGACTAAGTTTTGCTTAACTTATATCCCAGAGTGTTAAACAAAAATCATTATTATGCACAGATCTTGGAGAATTTAAACCTACTGGTATCTGTAAGAATCACAAAGTAGTCATAGACCCATTCTTCCACCTGTACACATGTTCCTATGATAACAGACAATGGTACTCTTCATATCTGTGCTAATATGAAAGATATCATAAGAGAGAAAACGAAATACATACAACTTCATGACTGTAGTACAAGCTGATATCTACAAGAATTATGAGCTGTAGAGAGTTTCTAAATAGTGTTTATTATATACACAAAATTCAATTTCTTTTTAACAGCAATAGTGCAACAGAAGGAATAAACTTCAAAATGAATAGTTTAAATATGTGTTTTGTACACATCTATTTGAACCAAATCTGCCATGCAAAATGTGTCTTATACCAAGCTTGCCAGCCTATTTTTCTACAGGGAAAGTATGCAATTATTTAAATTATTACCCTCACAAAAACTGAGTTGTGATCATTAGATTGCATAAATAAGCAGGCTTGGGACCGTCAATTCTGGGATATAAAACCACTTGCAAATCAAAGTACTTTAAGAAATTTTGTTAACGACACTCCCCTTCCCCCTCCCTCCCATATACACATATGCACTCTTCTCCCCTCCCCACAAATTTGCAGAAGTCTTATCTCCAAGTTAAAAACTAAACTAAAGCCCCATCTTAGATAGGAATATTGTGTTACTGAAGAGTCCATATAAAAGAGAGGTCCTGACCACACTGATCATTCAAGAATTTCATTGTCCATTTTGAAGTATAGAGATCTGCCCTGTCCATTTACCAACTTACAGAAATTATCTTTAGGCCACCTAAACCTTATGTTTTAGTTGAAGATGGTATTTTTCTTCTTTTTCTGTCTTAATGTTAATGCTTTTTGTTTTCAAGAGTTTTTACTGAATTAAACCAACTAAGTGATTCCTTCATACAGGTTCTATACATAAATTATTACAGTGACATGATTCAAAAGCTTGTCTAAGTTTATTCTACCCATGCAGTTGGTCCAATAAAATATATTATCCCAAACAAAGTGGTCCTGGACTCCAAGGCCAGGTACAGACATTACACTTCTACCAGTATAAGCAATTGGAAACTAGTCTATACCTGGTAACAGAAGTTCAGCACACAAAACCACTCTATACCTATAACAGAACAAAGGTTCAGCACACAGGTTGGTTTCAAAAAGGCAGAACCCGGTCCAAGATAATCCCCCTTCAAAGGGCAAATGTATGTTCTGGTTGTTACCAATCTAAACTATACCGCTTATAGAAAATCATGTACCACAGACTGATTCTGCTGCAGGCTTTCTGAATGCCTGTACCTAGCCCAAAAATATGTAGTCTAAGCATTAGACAAAACACAAATATAACAGTTGGGTACAGACAGGCCAAGAAGCAAAAGGGGACAGCATGAAGCTTAGAAATGTCAACACACCTAACAAGTGTCATGATTTTATTGGCATTATAGAGGCATTCTCCGTCCTTTTTTTATTGTGATCCCTCGTCTGGTTAAAGCCCATTTATAGTAACTAAATATCTATGAGACCCTCAATTCTAGACATAGGTGCAACAATATCAAATGGGGCTCCCACCCTTATTTAGGTTATTACTGCCTTACAGAAAAATGTTTTAAGGGAGGTATCAAAGGGAGATAATGTAGTAGCTTCCCAAAAGCTTGTATTAGCCAAGAGACAGCATGGTAAGAAGTGCTCACTTAAACATTTAATGAGGATGGCAGACTGACATCATGAGCCAAGTGGTGCAGGAGCTGATTTTTCAACAATGAATGAGGGAAGATACACAGGATAGGAATAAGTAGTTAAGTACCTTGAAAATAAATTGTTTAGGTTTAAAGTGATAAAAAGGAACGCAAAGAGAGGGATAACCTGGTCAAGATAACAGGCTAGGAAAACTATCTAGGCAGGCTTACTGTTTCACACAGAAGTGGGGCAAGGCTACATTTGTCAAGAGCACAGAAAAGATCATGCAGTAACTGAAACAAGCAACAACAAGAATCTGAATGAGAACTGTAGGTGTGTGGATGGATATGAAAGGATGTATGAAAGACTAAGATGCTATATATGCCTAAATCTCTCAAGAAAAAATTTGCAAAATTTAGACACAACCTGGATGAGAGGACCTCGTGTGAACAGGTCCAAAAAAATTAAGTTACAGTCCTCGGTGATAGGGAGGAGGCAGTAACGTCCACCATGATTGAGAAAAGGTACAGCAAGGAGTCCTAATGGGGGAAGACAACCCAACAGGAAAAAGCTGTTTATTATGTCATGTTTAGTCTGTGCTAACAACTAGATAGCCATAAGACAGAAAAAGATTTTTATTTGGACAGAGGGGGAGACATCCGGTATAGAAAGACAGACTTGATAGTCATTCACTTAGAGATGAGAACTGAGCTAGTGTTTGCAGATGAGGTTACCAACAAAGTGTAGAAGAACAAGAGAAGATAAATGAGGACAGAGTCCACAGAAAGCTGAAGGGGGGATGAGGAGTCTCTTCCAAAGGTTCTCACGCTTCGATCAATAACATGGATTTTTTCCAACAGTACTTTCCTCTTCATTGACTCAACCTGCCATTTCATCTGAAATAAGAACCCTGAAGGCTGATTTGTGACATCCATGATAAAAAAAAAAGATTTAATACCACAAATCAAGGACGTTAAGCACAAGGAAAAGGGTTAATTTATCCAGAACACAGAAGATAGGAGGACAAATATAGGAAGTTACATATAAAAAAAAAAAAAAAAAATGTAAATACTGTTTTCCTTAACTATTCCATTTCCTCAGAAGGCATTACGAGAGTTCAGTGACCACCAAGTTCACAAAGTTATAAAGTCATATCACTAAGTGGAGAAAAAGTGGCTTCACATATATCAAGCAATGTGAAAATAACAAAGCTATTGCTACCTAGCTGTACAAGTTGCTCATTTTGGTTAACAATTTTCTTTGGCTGAATGAACATACAGCTGAACAAAGAACAGAGTGAACAACAAGATTTTGTTAGTTCTTCTTTTCAGATGTTTTAGAAAGTCTCGTATCATCCAATACAGTCATCTATAGCTAACAGCAGGATTTTGTGGTCTTCCTGGTTTACCAGGCTTCACTTTCTACAGACTATGTGAAGGCCAGTTAGAGAATATCACTAGAGATCTCAACTTTAAGCACCAGACCTTAACAAAACCCTGAGAAAAATATTTCTACTATAAAATTCAACTTCTATTAAACGTTAAGCAAACAAATGCTGAAGTTTAGTTCAAATGCTATGGTGCAAACTCATAGCTCTGAGGTTGTACAGGGGCTTTCTTCCCCTTGTTTTTTTTTTGTTTTTTTTTTAAATACAGTAATACAAAATTTCAGTACAAAGGAAACATGTTTGCAAAGGACTGGCTCTGTAAACCATATGGCTCCCAGAGCCAGGATGTCCTGACACTTACCACAGCGTTTCACATTAACAGTAAGCAGTGAGAAAGGACAACTGCTGACGCAAAAGGTTTACTTAAGTACCAAGCTCCGTAGTACATATTTTTCTGAAAAAAAGAAAAAAAATCTTTCCCTCCAAAACATGCTGCATTTTATAAAGCAAGCCTTTACTAGAGCAGAGTAGGATGAGAGTCATATCATGGTGTGATTTTTTTTTAAAACTAGGATTAAGCATCTATATATTTAGCAAGTATTTAGTCTTCAAAGGAAAACATTCATTCAGTAAGCAATAAATGTTTCCTTGATTGAGATAAGTTACATGTAGCTAAATCCCATTTATAACAGTTCAAAGCACTGATACCATGATCATGACTGACACCCACTTCCACTTGCGAAGAGCCAAGGCACTGCACCCCATTCTATCAAAGAGAGGTTGTGGCTCCAATGTTGTCTGCATCTGCAGCTTTCAGGCACTGTCAGGAATGTCTGTAGTTACAGACATTCAGGCATGGAGTTTTGTTCTAGGTTAAGTCCAATTAATGCCAAATACAACAACATACCTATTCAGCAACATTAGTCACTGACTGCTATTACACTGCTCCAGTTTCTTCATTAACTTCTTGAATTGAATACAAAGGCCAGGCTGCAACATCCTTTTTTGCAATGAGTACATTCCTATTCCACGAGTCTCAAAGAAGCAAACACGACTTCATTTAGATCAAGGCACTACCGGAACTGAACTGTTCTTCTATTCAGAGGTTTTCATGGAGGGACAGAGCTATCCAAAACAATGCCTTTCCCTCCATGGCTGCAGCCTCTTCTCTCAACTTCTTTCCAAGTCAGTCAACCACATGGGAGAATATTAGCACTGGAGACAAGCTTGGAATTCTCATTTGCCAGAGAATACTCCAAATCTTGTAATGTACAAACCTAAATGTAAAACCTGTTTCTTTGATATAGTTTTTCATTATTACATCTTCTAAAAAAAATAAGTCCCAAGCATTAAAAAGTCACTATCCCTCAACATTTTCTTCTATTGGCAAGAAGAGGAAAGAATCTTTTTTTTCCCCTGAAAATTTGCCTGAATCTTTTCTTTTGTCTTCCCCGCCCCTCCACCCATTACTTCAATGTTCAATTACTATGTTGATAAAGGCCATAAAAAGTAACTACCCAGATGGATACTACCTTGACAGTAGCAGCATAACTTAAAAAAAATACAACTTCAGTTATGAGACACTTAAAATACCTTCAAAGAGTGAATGGATTTTTATAGCAATTAGCCATTCAATTTCCTGCAGAAACTTCTGTGTGTGTTTTTTGTTCCATGATGAACTACTTAAAAAAAAAAAAAGTTTTAAAGGTCATAGGTTTAATGGGTTGATAAAACATCTTTAAATTAAGCTAAGTATCCAAGCACTGAGGCATCATGATGCTTCATTACAACAGTGCTATACAAAAATGCTAAGAAAAGTTATCGGATAATAATGGAATAAAAAAAAAAAAAAAAAAAAAAAAAAAATCAGATGACTATGCCTACTAAATTCTCTCTTTCAGCTCTAGTCAATGAGTTTAACAATTAGAGTAGCAAGTCATGCATGTTCCCAAAACTGCAATGTGGAAAGTTCTGCTCAGCCAGCACCTTGTCACGTGGTCCAGAAATGGCACCAAATAAAAAAAATCTGGCTCTACACAGAATAAGAGAGAGACTATGCATGAAGATGCTATAAGGAATTTTGAAGAATAAAAGGTGAGGATAGGAGGGAAGATGCAGGGGAGGGGAACTGCACTTTATAATCCATGATCAAAAATTACCCTGACCAAACTACATGACCTTGTAATGCATGGCATACTACAGATGGGCAAACTACCAAGAAAAACACTCTTAAAGGAGGGACTTCTATTTCCAGCATGGTAAGAGCTCACCATGTGTATGGTTTTCATTCAAAGGAAAAACTGGTATTTGTATCCTGTAGTCCACAGCTGCATTACTGCAATGAAATCTTGTTGTATATGGGGAGAAGATGCAAAAATCATACAAAAAACAAAGGGACACAAGTGCAGTGTGGAGGCCTTTGATGCAGATACAGAAGAAAGTTGTGGTTATGACTGATTTGACTGGGTCCTATGTGGCCCTGCGAAGTATAAGCTACTTAGAAGGTTACACACCTCAAATTATTTACAAAGAATAATGAATATGGACATTAGTTTTCAAGCTAACTGCACTCAGTAAAGATATGGGGATGCCAAATACAAAATGTACTTTGGCTTCCCCTAATTTAAACAATTTATTTACTCTATAACTCTTAGTAACATGCTTTCGCATAATCACAAAACCAGCAATGTAAACTTTGGGTACAGAGTTTCCTTGCTTCAAGATTTTATTATGTAACTAATTAAATTGTTTTGCTTGCTTTCCATAATACAGGGAAAATTTAACGTGGACCACAACATAGAAACAATGCAGTTCAAGCTGCTATATTTTTACTACGGTGCTTAACAATTTTCTTCCTGAGAACTGCAGAGTATCAAACAGCAACTTAAAGTTGTTGAAATGTTCCTACCTGGAAGCATGAACTCAATTATGTTTTAGGATGTGACAAACTTTCACTACCCTGACGCCCTTAGAAGTATTCCAAGCTGAACTACAAGAGGTGCTGAACTACTCTCAAGCCTACACATTAGACCAGTGGGGGCCAATATTTTTGTTAGACATGCCACCAATTACCCACAGACCCTTCCAAAGTGCCAGTCAGACCTCCTTATCCTTCCTGATCTACAGCTCTGCACTTCCTGCCTGATCAACTGCTCTGGTTTTGTTTCTTTCCTTGTGATCCCTGCCCTGTCTACCACCATGCCGCCTGCCTTCTCCTTAGTCCGCTGCATGCCACACACAGAGCCTACCCATACCAGTTGTGGCACCCGTGCCACAGGTTGGCCACCCCCCCAGCATTAGACATCTCCCTACTATGTGTAAGATAATTACTTTCTCCCAAAAAAGCAATGCCTTTCTGTTTTCCAGATTATTAATCTGTATTCGTAACATTTTGCTGCTATATCCTCAGGTTTTTCCTTAAAGGTGTTATGAGCCTTGATTGGAAGGTTCTTGTAAATTTAAAACAGTCTGAAGCTACAATTCTTACATGGATTCGAACTCTATTTCTGTATGTAATGTTTTTATCTCATGTTGGATCATGGTTAGAAAAATATTAAAGAACCAACTTTACTATCCCACCGTCCTGGAATATAGAACTGGAGTATTGCCCAAGGCTGGGCACATTATAAAGATATAGATCTCTCTATACCCATTATACCACCAATAGCCAAGTATCTGTATCTATGATTGTACCTGTACCTATTGATGGATAATTTGGCTACTGGTAGTATAATTAATGCTTATCCATTCAAAGCCAGCAGTGAATTTATATGGTCAACTCTTGCTAGGAATGGAATTATTCATGCAAAAATATGTAGAAGTTGTACCACTAAACTTAATTAAGTTTAGATTCAAATAGACCTGAAATCAAAAGAAGATTAGATTTACATGCACATTGCCCTATATGCACCAATTTGTTATAACCACATGACTCAGTGAAGCATATATTTAAACTGATTTTCTGTATCTTCTGAAAGTATAGTCTTTACCATGTGTGCTATTTATTAACAGCACTATTATCAAGAATGTCATACCAACACTTGGCCCCATTAATCTTAACAGTTTCTTTAACAACCAGACAAGAGGTTAATTGGGTTTTCCCCACCTCTTTTTAAGATGGTAATAAGAGACTTTGAGACAAGATGCTGTCTATTCTGCTACCACTCTATGCCCCTTCAAACAGCTAAAATATAAACCACCCACACCATATAATCATAAAGACTCAACACTAGCAGGCCCATAACTACAATTCCAAGCTATGGACTTTGATCATGTCTGCACATATGGAACTGCACTGCATAGAAGTCTTTACACACACCACAATATATCCTTAAAAAAGCTCTAATCCTCAATTACAGTTAATTTGTGTAACTTTTAATAAAAATAAAGTTGTTTTACTCACTCCCATAATGCTTGCCTACAGAGTTAAGTTTTACCACTCAAGTTACTTCATATATGAAATCTCAACCGTGAGAAAGGGTGAAGTGATCTGAACAAAAAGGAAAAGAAGTCTGAAATTACTGAGCTCTCATCCCAGTTTTGACAATGGATTATTTCTTTGTCTTTGGTCAAGATAATCTCTACCTTGTTTCTCTTCCTTCCCCACATCTGTGAAGTGGAAATAAACCTTAGCTAACTCACTAGATGGCTATAGTGATTACACTTAAAGAAGAACACTATAAATGCAAAATATTGGTAGTTTAGGCCTCAAAACTGGATTCTTATCACTGGGCAAGACCTCTAAGACTGGAGAGCTCCACTAATTTCACCAAGACCACATAGACACAAGAGGGGCTGCTCACGTGCATTAGACTGAGAGACAGTCCTGAAACAGGATTTAAAGCCACAATCATATCAGGCAGGGTTCTAACTATTTTTGGTTTTAATCCTGGTTTTTGATTTAGCTAGAGGAGAAACTGACCTTCCTTCGTGCACTGCTGAGTGAAGCTAAGAGACTTAACATTTGTTTGGCAACATATTCAATTTGTTCAAATGCACCCTTTTCACTATAAGTACCAAATGCTAAGCTCAAGCGGTAAGTTACAGCAGTCTGACACCATGACATCACCCTGTCTGGTATACTTTAATGTAATTTAGAAACAAAATTTAATTAACTGACAGCAGCTTAAAGAGGATACATTAAAGATCCAAACTGAGGACACTTATCCAGTGATACAAAAGAGAAAAACTGTAAAGGATCCAGCCGGTCTGATGAAACCTGCACAATAGGCCACATGCTGCTTGTTGTGACCCTCTACTGTAACAATGACAATGGTATCCTATAAAAGTTGAGTAATTCCTAATGCTACAGCTTTCTGAGTGGTTTGAAATGCCACTGAAGAGGAGAGGAAAAATTGAACACTATGCACCTTAAACATGGTGCAGGGATGCCGTATTTTCAAAATGAATGTCTGGGTCCTGAAGAACAGTACGCACCTCTAAACAGATTCTTCCTAGGTGTTTTCTATTTACAGTACTCTGAAGAGTAACAGGGATAACTTTATCAAAGTTTCTGGAGTAGCACCCATATACAACAGAGATAGGACCTACAAAAGGGGCTGTACTATTAAGTATAAATAATAATATTCCAACATCAGAATGGAAGAGCAGATAAAGATGCCAACTATTCCATGTGGCAGATGCATTAACAAATTTAATAAATACCTTGCTCTTATTTAACATGGATCTCTCTATATAAAATATTTGCCTTTTACAAGAAAAGTTAGTAGTAACTTGTCCAACTTGTCAGGGAGCAAAAGCATTCAAATTCAAGCCTTAGAGATCTAACCCTTCTGTTCCAAGACCAGATCCTAAAAGGAATTAAAGCCTCAACACCTAAACTGAAGCTGTCAACTGTCCCCCACATAAGGCCCTTACCTACCCAGCCACACTGCCTCCTGAAGCTACCCATAAAACAACCCGATAAACCCTGATTTCAGTAAAGCACCTTTTTTCCTATTTTGTAAATTATTTATAGCAAGTTATTGCTTCCCTAATGTAATATTTTATTAAAGATGTCCATCTGGCTCAGAAATCAGCATGTAGATGCTGCAAAGGAGGTCTAGAAAATTATGGTCCATCACAATAAATCTTCATCAGTAAAGCACATTTCCAGTTTCCAAGTAAATACTTGAAGACACTGCCAGTGTGGTTTAAAAAAAAAAATTCATTACACAAATGCACACCAAAATATTCAAAAATGAAGTATTTGTTACACATCTGTTTCCTCCAAGGATAATAAGCCATTTCTCCCCCTCCCCCCACACAGACATTGTTACAAACACAAACATATGTATATGACTGTCATGAGAATGCTTCACCCGATGATTAGCTTAGCTGAAATTTATGCTCAAAAGGTCTCATCTGCTGACTAACAATCTGATCCAGAGAGAAACATAAGGACCAAGAACAAGGAATATAAAAGGGCAAGAACTAAGTTAAGCAGTTTTCTCACACTTCTTTAAAGCCCGAGTCATTTGAAAGTACTTTTACCTATCAACGGCCTAAAGCAAATACATGTACTTTCCTCTATATAAAAAGAAAAAAGAAAACATAGCCAGAGGCCAACAAAATGGACAGTGGATTTAAACAGCCAGAAAGGAAATTCCCTCTCCATCAAGGGTGCACACAGCACTGCTTAGAAATCTGCCTAAAGATGCGCTTTCCCCATCCGTAGCTCTGCAAATGCCTCCCCTTTGCCCAACAGCAAGACGTGACACACAAAACTCACCACTTTGTCCATTAGCTTCCAAGTCTTCTCCACAGTCCTGCGGTCAGCAGCTGCTTGCTTTGGGGGCCCCACTGCATCCTGAATAGCATCAATGAAGCCCAGAATGCGCCCTTTGCGGGGGTTTCCTCCTCGGCCACCTGGGTTCCGGCCGTTCGTGGAATTGGCCATCTGGGGTCCAAGCTAACCCGGGAAAGGGAGAGAGAGGAGAGAGAGAGAAAGAGGAATGAAAGAAGAGAATCACAAGGGGGCCTGAAAATGCTTTGCTGCAAAACAAACAAGTAAGGAAACAGCCAGGTTTCATTTCCACTCCCCCACCCCCCAGGAAAGGCAAGAGGGCCTGTTGGGGAACTAGCTTAAATTTTCAGGATGAGCTTGAATAAACCCACCTGGGCTGAGTTTACACTGTCTGGAGTGCCCCTGGATGTGCGCTTGATACCAGCATAAACAAGCCGTGAGGAAATGCATACATGTGAATGGGCAGGCAGGGGCTTGACAACCTAATTCCCACACACACACACACACACACTAAACAGATGTACACAACAACCACCACATGCACTCCCTAACTAGATTTCCCTCCAGAGTCCCAGCCGACTGCAGGGGACTCCAGTACAAGCAGGGCCGAGGAGAAGAAAGGGACTTGCAGGTGGAGTGGGTGGGCGCAACCCCAAAGGGAGCCTGGCATGTGCCATGTTAAAAATAACGATGTCAGGCAGCCAGGCGACACACACAGCTGCAAAACAACAAAAAGTGACTACACACCCAGTGAGGAGAGAAGTGGTGTGTGTGCACATACATATTACATACTGTTTGTACGTGTATGTGTGTGCACATGTACATATACACACATACTTGGAGTCTGTGTGTGCGCGCATGTATGCATACGTACAAATGTCTGTATACACTTTATTATGTATGCTGTGTGTATACCTCAGTCTGTGTAATGTGTGTGTACACATATACACACATACATATATGCACATACATAATGCACACTACATACAGACTCAGAGGGGTGTGTGTGTGCATACACACACTGTATGCATGAACATACACTCACATACAATCCCCCCCCCCCCGGAGTCTGTGTGTACACACATACACACAGTACGACATACACACACGCATGTGTACACACACCCCCTTCCCCCCCAGCCCCACACCGCCCGGTACCTGCACGTCCGGGCCCCGTCCCCGTCC